AATGTATTAAAAAATTAACAGCCTTCCTCCTGTCCCATGCCTCCAAGCTAGCCCAGGTGGGCGGCTTCTCGCCTGTCTTCAAGCACCTGCAATCATGAATACATTCACAGGGGCTCTCCTCTGATCCCTTTTCCTATAAAGGAAAGCATAATGATAGCTCGTATCTCATCACAGCCCAGTCTTTACTCTTAACATTGTATCACTGTTTCAGGAAGTGACGGGGCATTTCCCGGGGAACTTCTATCCTCCCACCAAACGCTGGGTTGGGCAGGGCGATGTAGTTAACATATAATGCATCTTAATTCTTCCCATTTAAAATAATGAGAAATGTGCTCCTGGAGAGCATTTCTGGTGCAGGGCATCTGACTTTCAAGAACGGGTTGCTGCTGTTAGCAGAGATGCCTGCAAGGTATGCACTAAAGGGACCAGAACCGAACAGAGTGGCAGTGCGCGGCAGGTCCAGACAGGCCACAGGCCGGAACCGCTGCCTCTGAGAGTGCAGAGGGAGTTTCTCTGCTGGAGGGAGTCCCAGCCCCTGCTTCCAGATTGTGAAACTTGGGAGGAAAACTTCAGGGACAATAAGGAAATAGCAACAATGTTGCCTGAATCACTCAGCTGCCAGGCAAACACCCCTTGGACAAAATAAGATCTCCCTGCAGAGACGAGAGAGTGGGCAGGTCTGGCGCCCCCGGCTCCGTGCCAGAGCCGTGCCCCGGCAGGTGCGCTTGTCTGGGGCTGAGGGAGGCTGGGGGCGAGTGCCATAGCTGTGGGACCCAAGATGGGATGGAAAACTGGGTGGTGCAGCCCAGAACTTGGATGGAGGTAGAGGGGGCAGGACTAGGTGAGAATGGGTTGGGATCTAACGAGGAAGGGCGCGATGCCTGGGGATAAAGAGAGGTTGCTTTGCACGTCTGAACCCCCACGTGGAAGCTCACTGAGGGGACGCAGGCTGGGACAGGGTGCGGGCCTAGATTCCAAGCCAACACGCTAGGTGGTGCGGTTCGAGGCGATGCTCGCTGAGTAGAGAACCAGGATCGATAGAAGCAGAAAGAAATGTCAAAGGATGAGAGCTGTCCACCCGGGAATAACCTGAACACCCCAGGGTGGGAGCTGTCCACCCGGGAGTAACTCGAACACCTACCACTTAGAAGACCAACTCACCCACAGAGATGGGACTGGGTGGCTGCTCCTGGGCGTTTTTCCTTTGTAATACTCTGGGGGCAGTCTGGGACTTAGTGATAGGGAGTGTCATCTGTTTTTGAAAAATATTAAACAATCTCTAAAGTTGTGGATAATTGGTGTTCATATTTAAATTTTTTAAATCCTTTTTAGGAAGTGAACTAAATGAATAATTTAAAGTCTGTCCTTTCAAAATTAGTACTTGGTTTAATACAGATTAAATAGTGTCCCAAAAAGCTGAATCCTTGCTTTTAAAAATTGTAATCCCCGTACTCGTAGGTGACCAAATGCTGACTAACAGCTCAGAAATACCCAGCAAATCCACCGTCTTAGCAAGTCAGCATCCATTTGTCAAACTCTGTGCTCTGGTGACTTTTGCCTTTCCTGTTGCTCCTTTTCTGTTTTGTTCTGCGGGTCTGGGTGAAGTGAGAGAGTGCGCCTGCGGACAGCCCAGGTTATTTTTCAGGCATGTGATGAGTTCCATTTTCTAGATACAAATTTTAACATATATTTTGAAATATGTACCCTACAGCAAATTTTGTCATTTTTTAAGGATAAAACTAATTCAATTTCAGATTATAACTAATCATATAAACTAACATGACTAAGGATAACTAAAAATGTTCATTTATCTATTAAAAAGAAATATATTTAACATTATTTTTTGCAAAAAGTCCTGTGAAAAATGTAATATTATTAAATCTTAGTATGACAATGGATGTATTCCATAGTTAAGAATTCCACATTAGAAATGGCATATGTAAATTATAAAAATGTTTTTGTGTTAACATATAGTGGGTTTACTATTTTTTAATGAGCTAAAATGCATATTTTAGAAATGTCTAAGTTTTAGTATTTACTACAGTAAATATCAATAACTATAACTCATATAACAAACGTTCTTTGGGATCCTCAAAAATTAAGAGTGTAAAAGATTCTTAAGGCCAAAAGTTTGAGAACCACTTTTGTAGGGTCATTTTAAACATGGTGGTCTCTTCCAAACCTTAGATTCTATACTTCTATGAATTAATGGAACCAACTTCACAGGTAGTCTTTTCTTTCTATGGTAGAATAAATATAATATTCATGTCAAAGTCAATTTCTCTTAGAAATATTAAGTACATATCCTTTCTGAAATTCTCAACACTGAATTTCAAAGTCTGCTTTTTAAAATATGGGAATTATATGGTTACAGAAAAATAATACTATTTGGAACCCATAAAATATAGGCCTCAGCTTAACTAAAACCTATAGCATGGACATATATTTCATTCACTATTATGAACTTTGTAATTTGTACAATGCCATCCTTCTGTTTAGTTTCAAAATCTTGTGTTTATCCTAAATTTTAAACAGGAAGAAATGATTTGTGCTTCTGTCTTCATTCTTAACTCAAGTACAGAGCATCTCAATATTTATAAAAATAAAAGGAGGAAGAAAAATACAATCTGTTTTAAAGAGAAACGTTTGTCTCTAGAGGAAGGAAACCTGCTACTGAATGTCTCCAGTTCCTTTAGCTCCTTAGAGATGTCATGACGGCCCTCCATCTACAGGGAATCCCACCCTTAATAACTATTGCTCATTTAAATCAACATAATGGAATATATTTTAGTGGAGTATATAACAAAGCAAATCAAGTAATGGAGTACATAACAGACAGGACTTCATTCATTTCTATTTTAATTTTCTTTTTTTTTCCTCTGCAGGAATTTAACTGGCAAATTTCCTGACTACCCTGAGGTAG